TAATGTACCAAATTACCTGAAACGGCTAGTGTACTGTATCTTATGACTAAATCGGTTTAATTGGCCGGGGACTATCTGGGTAACTAGGTTAGGTAGCCTACACAACTGGCGCCGAGTCGATGATGGTGATATTTAATTTTAGGTTGCGGACCAACGGGGATAATATCTCCTGCTATTCTGAACAAGTAGCATAGCTGAATTATGTTGAGTTACGCAATGAGCTACACTTACTGTACTAGATATCACTACTGCATCCGAGGTGGAATGATATTCATTATTATAATAATATATTTTGTATTATTTCGGCCTCCCGACCACCGCCGTAAGTGGAGCAGCTAGCATCACTTCCTCCTGCCAATATCGACCTTTTTTCTGGTTTATTGTGAAGAAAAATTCTCCACTTTCTAGGTGTATTCGCTGGCAATCGTGGCCGTAAGTAGATCTATATATGTACTCCGTACAGCGATAGATAGATCCAGGCGCTGAAGAAACTCAGATACCCTGTAAAATCTGGGGTCATCTGCAAGGGGTAATCTCAGATAAGAGATCTGGGTGGCGAGTTTGCCTTTGCATTTAAGACTTCGTCATTGCGTAGCCTTTTAAGGAGCCAGTGTCATCAATAGCGGGGAGGCTAGTGTTGCATAACAATATAGTACTCCGTACATACATCTGTACTCCGTACTCCGTAGTCTAGTGTATATTCCAAGGCCTCCTCTTCTATGAGAGATCTCTTATATTATCAAAACAATCGTTGACTGGGATATTGACTTGAAAACTATAGGTTCCAATCTTGGAAATGAGTGGCGATCTCAAGTTTCAGTCGGAACACAACGGGGTCTTGGCTTTGGCGCTAGAAACGCGGCAGAAGCAGTTGGGCAGCCTTCTATCCGTTAGCGCCCTCTGGAGTACACCGCCTTTGTTCTCCTTAAGTTTGGGCTTTTTGAAAGGACATTTCAAACAGGACAATACCTATTATAAGTATTTTACAGACTCTGTGTGAAGTACCCCATACCTGGGTCTCATAATAATATAAAATCTGTCATTTGCTTCGCTGCACTCAGCCGAATAATGATTTATATTAGCGAAAACCCGCGCACTCCGGACAAGATGAAACTTCCGAGGCTCGGAGTCCGCCCGTTATGCCCGTTGGGTATAAAAAACATGTGTACGGAGTAACATTGAACATTGTAACAATAATAAGCTAGGCCGTTTCTTAGTCTGGACTGAAACTAGTGATGCTACATACATACAATTATAAATATGATTTCCGGTTCCCGTTCTATCCGTTCGGGGTTACTTCGGGGTCCCTGAGATGCTATAAAAAAGCATCGCCACCCCGCGTAATAATCAACCTCGGATCATACCATCATGTATCCATTTCCCGATGACTTCACAAGAGCCCCATCAACCTGTTTTCTTGTTTACAATGCTGTATTGGGGTAAAACGGGCTATGTTGTACAGAGTGGGATACTTCCAAAGTGATTAAAAGTAAAATAGATTCTAGTACAGTCCGTTTATACAGCATATTTAAGGAGAATCTTCCGAAGTGTTGTTCGCCCTGCATTGTACCCAATTGCTGTGTTTGTCACTTTCTCAACCAATTTTGAGCAGATGTTGCCATTTTTCGGCATTTTATGTGTATACTATTTGTTGTATGATGCGTCTCAAAAAATGGTATGATGCAGGTATAACAGCTTCGTCTCGGCTCATTACTCATTGCGCGATCGACTATCGGAGATGTCCCGGTTTTCTGACCAGCATCAAGGATCGTTCCCTGCATTCGGCTCTCATTCGATAACCCTGGGGATTATCATAGGCCGAAAGCTGGCCCGTGTCATGGATCATAATATCCCCGCACAACTTTTGTTAAGTTACGATTACAGGGTCGTACGTTGCAGTTTCTAGCTTTGTACTTAGATTCAGGCTGATATGATAGATACCACCAAATATATCAAAAGCATCCCCCTTGTCTCGACTCCTTCTGCCCAAGACAGTTGCCTATTGCGCGCTTCCTTCTTCCTGACAACAGCTCGTCATAGTGTGTGTACACACTCAGATAAGAAGGGGCATTTTGATCTTTAAGTCCCGAGCTAGGCGCAGTTTTTCTTCAATGCATGCTGCTTGATATATTATTCTGTAGTGTCTTGGCGGAACAATGACTTCCTGTCACTTTTCCGCAACTACTATCTATTATACTGTCCGTTGAGTCTCCCCTAGACTTGGCGCATCGCCCTACATTATGATCTAAAGATTTGAGGTAGGATTATCCGATGTTGTTGCTAATTCACCGGAGAATCATATCGAAATTGTTCGTTTTTTCTTCGAACTTGTGAGTGTTACGGATGAGTCTATGGAACAGGTCAGTGCCCTTTTGGGGATTAAAACAAAAGTGCGATTTTTTGCACCGAAATAAGTCGCCCTGTAAGTATGAGATGGCTCATAATACCTACTGATACAATCCGGTCTTTGAAAGATTCTAAACTTTATAATTAATTAGAAGGGATACCCATGGATGGAAGCACTTTAGGGTGCTATAAAGACGAAAGACATCTCCCGGCATCACCTCTACTACCCTATCTTTGGTGCACCCTTTCAACTTCTATCCGACTGAGAGTAAACAAAAGACACAAAGCCTGAGCTGAAATTGTGTATTTACATGGTATTCTTCCTTTGAAAGAACCAGAGCGGTCCAAACTTGCATTGTCGTGCTAAGGAACTAGGATATATTGAGTGGTAGAATGCGAAGCTCTTACGGTTCGCATTGCAGGTATGCTTTTCGACAAGCCCTTTTATTGCAACGAATGTTGGGACTGGTATCGATTTAAGTCTGCTGTGGGAGGGGGGGNGGGGGGGGGGGGGGGGGGGGGGCGTGGTTTTCTATTAAGATACGATTGGAGTTTATTGTTATTGGAGTCTACAAACTAGGAGATGAGCTCGTGAAGTACGATAAGATGATATTGCAATGTAGTGAACAATTTTAAATGGGAGGAAAGGAAGACTGGAGAAGTCTACTACTACGGCACCATCTGACACATAAGAGATATTTAAACTTGTGGGGGGTCAACCTTCATGTGTGGTATGACCTAGATCCTGCCCCTATTTTTGTTTGTGGGGGTGTGATCTTAGTTTGCGGAGATATTTTCCAGAGGAATTTGTAGTGAGCTGACAAGTGGAAGTCTTATTTGGTGGAAATTTATCCAGAATGGAATGTGCCTCAATCGAGGGTCGCTTATTTTGGTGGAGATTAAACTCATAATAAGGGTGTTGCAAATGAGACGATATTAAGGGTCAAAATCCTACCTACGTAGGTGCTTCATAGGAAAAGGTCTGCCAGGAGGACTTCGTTATCACAGAGTGCGGGAACATGTAAGACCTTTTTCGCGCCAATATTCTATTCGAATCGACTTAGAATACATAGAAATCATAACTCTAGAAGACGCCAAGTTGGAACGTTGCTCTTCATCTTAGAAGCGCGAGGCTGGTAGACAGATAAAAATGTACAGAATGAATAATGTCCTTAGGCTATATCCTGAGACACCTAAGACAAAGGAATACAACTATTGCCCCTTTCCCGTGAGTCGGTAGTCTGAAATTATATATAATATGAAATTATATATAATATGGACGGATAATATCTCGACAAGTTAAAGTGGAACAACTCCTAAGCAAATTCAGATGAAAGTACGTGCAGCTCCCACAAGGCTCACGGACAAAGCATATGAAGAGGGGGGAAAAAAAATTTACTCCGTACTAAAAGCAAATCACATGGGAACACAGATCTACTCCGTATTACTCACAGGACCAGTGATATTAGCAAGCAACCGGTGAGAACCTTAGTGCTAGTCCAAGCCCTAAGTACGGAGTACCTACTAAGACAGGGACATAATTTTGGTCAGCTCGGAGTCCGCAAACCGACTCGGCTAATTCTCCTTTTTACAGATTCCACCTCGCATAACATCTGTCATGTGGTTTAAATTAGTGGATCTTATTGGATGGGGGCAGTTTAAAGTACTTAAACCGAAACTATCGATAACTAGAGTAGGCTAAATAGTGCTCCGTAGGCCCGAGTTTTCACCGGAGAAACGTGTGGGGAAGTAAATAATGACCGATGAGGGGTAAAGGGGCATTGAAGAGATCGTCTCACCGGGGAAACATAAGGAGTAGAAAGTCCAGCTGGCAATTGTGGACCAAGAATGATTTGCGACATGAACAAGCCAATCCAATCCCTGAAACAATAAACGTGCAGGGAGAGAAAAAAAAAGGAAGCAAAATAATTAAGGACTGATAAGCTGTCGCAGTAAGATTGGCAACAGGGAGGCTTGGCAGGATTCTCAAAATGCCCAAAAATAGGTGATGTTTGGGTGTATACACATCCACGACGTACAATGGGCACTGTTACCTAAGTCGTGAAACATGGTGTGCGATAATCGTCAATCCCAGCCCTCCCGGCCAAGGCGGGAGTATCAGATTACACAAGGCTTGGCGGAAAATCATCATCTTGGCAGCACTTGGCAAGCATTTAGGAGTCACCCTCGCGTCCGGCGGGATGGGGATTCCTCTACAGAGTGCAACCTTATGTTTTGGTCAGGTGGGCTATGTAAGATGCACAACTTGGTGGCAAAATTGGAGTGGGAAGGAATCATGTAGATGGGTTGAAGTGTTGCTTATTGGTTACTAGCTTGCCGAATGGGGCAATATGTATGCTTCCCAAAAGCGAAAGACGTGATAATGTAGACAAATTTTGAATGAAAAGCATATGGTAATTTGAAAGTGCCAAAGAAAACACCCCTGTTGATTTTCCTGCCCTGATCCCATGATAGGGTGTCCCAAGTTTCCGATTGTAGTCGCTCAATTGACAAAGACTGTAAAAAAAAAGAAAAGAGAAGAAAAAAAACACATAGTAAGCTCAATAATGAATCAGTGCTGTGATGGTGATATATCAAGAAATATGGATGAGAAAAGAGAACCTAAACGAGTAGCCGGACCAGTGATAGAGCGCCTAGTGCTGCTTCTTGCCATGACCAAGGTAGAGGAAACCACTTGGGAGGGTGGCGGTAAGGTCATTGAGGGAGGCTGAAGAGTTGGTGGAAAGAGAGCTATTGGTGCGGGCACGGTTGACAGGAGCCAACTCAGGGCTTTCCTCAACGGAGCTGGTCTCGATCTGGGACTCGTCTTCCCAGGCGCGGGGATCAGGGCCAGATTCAGTGGGAGACAAGACGAGGAACTTGTTGCCAGGGTGGTAGGGGCCAGACACAGTGGCAGAGAGAACCAAGAAACGGTGGGTGGGGGTGTAAGTGTACATTGTGAGAAAACTTTTGAAGGCTTTGTTTGGAGGAGAAGTAGCTCGGTTAAAGACGGGATCTTCGGGCTATTGGAGAGAAAGTTGTAAATGGATTGTTTTGGATGAAAGTGGGAAATCTCAGGGAGTTTCGACCTCACTTATATAGTCCAGACCAAGATAAGCCAAGAGGGACCCTGGGGAATGAGGGGCATGCTGTATCAACGATAAGCCCGAATCACGCCGATCCAACGCATCCAGCAAGCACATCATATCTGGGCCGGGGATACGGAGTAGTGGATATGCGGTCATGCAGTCAATCCACTCCCCGCCATTATCGCCCATTAATCCATAAAGGAGAATCCCAAACATGCTGGAGAGCTTCACATGTCTTGGCTGAAAAAAGGGGGATCAAAGCCAAGAGTTCACTATTGGCTGACTATCACCCTTTCTTTTTCTGAATGCTTCGACTTCGCCTCTCTTGGCTCTGGCATAGTCACACCGGAGTCTGGGCGGCTGACAGTCATTCCCAGCAGCCATGGCAAATATGTTGACTTGGCGAATTAAGCCCTATGTCGTTGCGCAATATGCTTTGCCTAGAAAAACCCGTTGCCAGCCGAAACTCAAGGACCTCGGAAGATCAACAGCCAGGATGAGGGGCTAAGAGACGAAAACTCATGGCTTTCACAGGCTCCCGTATGCATCCACACCTATGCAGTATGTGTGTTAATAATAATTTCGGGTGGGAAAGCTTTACACATTCCGAGTTGTTTCGTCGATAGTTCTCTTCGCCAATCATTCCAACCGCTGCATGGGCGCTAGGACCACTGGTTATGCTGGGGTATTTGGTCTCCCCGGCCTTTCTCCTAGGGACCCGAGAGCGCACATTTAGAACTCTTTTCAGGGGAAAAAGACATGGGAGTGACATCATATTCCAATATTTCCCCAGACTCGAGAATCGAAAATTGAGATCTTGTTCACCGAAGCTGTCGATACTCGGGTAATTGTCACTCCGATACATCACTAAGCATGTGAGAAGTACTCTACAACATATAGGTACAGTGGATTGTTTTAAACTGATCTGCTGGGTTATCTCAAAACAGATAGGAGGCGATTTTTGAAATTGAAATTGAAGGTTTTGTTTCCATGGTTCCTTCCTCAAGTTTATTTAACCTTGAAATAGAACCTTGGGAATACCTATCACGTGGTAAAACCCTCATGCAGTAAAATCTAAATATTAAGGAAGTAATTTTCGTAATTTTCATTATTTTTTCCCTTTGCTGTGATAGCTAAAAACAAAACACACAAACCAACAGCGGCAAAACAGACTGCTCAGCGACTGGTCTCGACCTGTCGATTGCGTTGCTGTGCCTTGCCGCCCCTAGGCTGGCGCGTCTCTACTCGCTCGGAGTTAATCTCCCAGTGGGTCGGCGCCTCAGCAAGGGGAGAGCCTCAGTCGAACCCATATGAACGCTACTGTACCATGGCTGAGGAACTTGGTGCTTGTCACCAGTCATTAGCGCTCTAGAATCAATTGATAGGCTAGCATTGATTTCTTTTCCCCCTAAAACCTGCAGCACGATCGCGCTAGATCAGACAAAGAACGCCTTCTGGCTAATATCGCAATCGGCACTCGGACAACACCGACCATACTAAACCACAACACGTCTGAATTTTCTTGGCTTCTTATGCTTTACTTGCTTGACCTCAATCTTACTAAAAGCCTTGTCGCCATGCAGTCTTCCGCATTTTAATCGCGCAGAACTTGCGGCTATCACCAACTGCGCCATGGAAATGAGCCTTATTCGCCTACATCCACAAGTCGAGGCGCATTACAATAGAGGCAATGAAGTCATCTCCTGCCATATCGAGACTGACTTGGGGTGGTGTCTTGCTTGGAGGGCCACCTTCTTTGAATTTCGATTGGTTCCTGGTGCTACTTTCTGCGGTCTGCCTATCCAGTTCTGCGGTAACACATCATGAAGGTCTAGAGCCAAGAATTTCTAAGTTTATGCGGAGACTCGAGGTCTTTCTCGGAAGTACATTGAATATCCCAAGATACAGAATTCGAGAAGAGTCATCGCAATCTCATCGGCGTTGCTCAATTAGTCACACCTCCTGCGCCGCCCACAGTGATGCGCACACATAATGAGAAAGCTGTGGCAGGTGCCTTCCCCAGACTATGAGCCATGCTTTTCGGGCTAGGTATCAGGATCATAGAGGTTTGTCAGATGGGGCAAACCATGTTTCTGATCTACGCTTCGGCCGCAGCATTGGCCCTATGGGGTGCCATCCAGAGAGGGGTCACTGTTGGCGCTCAGGACATGAGCCCTAACACTGGCTGCAGCGGTTTTAGAGTGATGTCAAGTGCTTCCTGCAGCCTGCGGGATTTGGAATTTGCATCGGTAGTCATACTTAGGGCTCGGTGGCCTTGACCAACCCCTGTTGCTGGCGAACCCCATATCGATAATCGTGACTCTTCCCGGAGGCACACCACACTCTAGCAGTCCACCTACCACAAACTCTGCTTTCTGTTGGTAAAAGCATATGCCCTGGGTATGGCGCATGTGTATACCATTTTTGTGCCCTCCATCACCTTCTCTTTGACTGCGCAACAAGTGATCACCGAGTTACTGCCTGCATATGGCGCATCTGGATGGATGAGTTACAGCGCTTGTAGGGGAACGGAAAGACCGAACCGTTTTTGAGACTGTCGATGGTGTGTTAGCCTTTTTTTTCTATCAAGTTGCGCAGTCAATTTACTTTCTTGGTGAGTGCATCAAATACTATAAAGCCGGGCATTGATCCTCTTCTTGCTTCTCATCACATCAATCAATATCTAGAGTTCAAAGATCTCCTTCGAACTCAGCAACGTTCAATTCGCAATATCTGCTTCTGCATCCTCTGCAATTCTACCTCTCCATCCACTGCCAATATGTGTTCTATCTACATTTTCCAATACGCCTGCGGCTGCAAGCACCAAGAAGGGGGTGTGGTTCACTGTGTTCATTACAACACTCCTAGTTGCAAGGGGGTTAAGGAGCAGCCTCGGGAGCGAACTGGCGCCAAGTGCCCTCGTCACGGTGGTTAAAGTGGCTTCTGATGTGAGTTAAATCCCTTAGAATTTTGAAGCAGATAACACTGCCCCAGAGTTTGGCTGACACGATACAATAGGCACTCAATGACTCGGGGCTTGAGGCCGTCCATCGCTATGCAATATGCTGTCATCGAGTGGTTGGCTTCCCCGCCCTGTCTGTGTCTGCTTCAAGATAGAAGAAGATAGCACTGTATCACATCTGTTATTTGGGGGCAATCTTATTTGTTGCCTCGCATCGGTCATTCTGGGATATGGATGGACACTTTTCTAATTCTGGAATTTCGGGCTCTCGTTTGAATTTTTTTGTGCTTTTTTCTGCCATGGATTCCTGGGGTTCTATGTGTTGATCTGCCTTCTGCACGTGCTCGGATCATTCTCTCTTTAGACAAACCCGTCTCGTGGAGGGCTGAGAGATCACAGAGTTTGGTTTTAAATATGCGGTATATCATTTTTCACTGATTTTATGACATTTATATCTTTTATATTGCCACCCAAGTAATATCTCAATGATTGATGTATGCCGATTTCAATATAAAACACTGATATCAAGCAAATCAAGCCAGAGGCAAATATATCCAGCTTTGTAGAGCTTCATGGGCTATGGAGATAGTCTCATAACCCTAGATGATACACTAGCCCACACGATCGTCAACAAGTCCACTGTGTCTTGATACCTACCGATTAGTATCTCAAGGCATGTTGGCGGCTCTTGCGGATTCAAATTATCTACAAGCCAACCCCACAGCAGATGGAATCCGTTCCCCTCGCATCATACCATATTCATGGTCGTTCGAGTCCAAATCAGATTAATTTATCTAGAAGATCTTCGGCATGCCGCATTTTCACGAACCCAACATGGCCAATAAAGAATACGGCTCATCCCCGCTGTTGGTGGCAATAAACTTTGTGGATTAGATGATCAATACCGGATATCTGAAATATTCTTGCAAGGTGGCGGTGACGGGGATGTTTGTGTGCAAGATCGGGTCCAACAGCTGATACCGCATGTCCATGCTTATCGGTTTGCAGTAAATAAAGTAAACGGAACCAACCTTTCAAACCGTCTAAAGTGCTCTGGATGTTTGGAATTCACAAAACACTCCATTAGCAGGGTATGCCGGCCCTTTAAACATCACAAAATCCTCTCTTGGCGTCTCAGAGAGAATGACGAGGCTGGCATAGTGATTTAGCAAGGATGATGTGGCGTTACTGTCGGTAAAAGTCGGACATATGAAAATTTACTATTGGCGAGAATGGGCTTTGGCCACGTTGTACATACGCGAGTCATGACCCCTGTGCTGTCGATCAGACACTAGATTGTAGGAACGAATAACTACGCTCGGGGCCGGTCACATCAGAGCTACAAGGGTAAAGGCGCGTGGAAATCGGGCTCGTCCTCTGATCGTAGGACACAAAGTTAAATCAAGCCCAGTTTACAAAAAAGAAATGTCATGCGAGCGCACCGTTCACCGTTCACAAACTAATGTGTGGTCGGGGACCTTGGAGACTTTCCAGGGCGAAACTCGATCAGTATGGTGGAGGGCATACTAATTAGACGCGGCTGCGATCTCCAAGGTAGGCGATAGGCTGCACAGACACCTCGTGGTTGCATTAGTCCCGCATATAATTTGTATCAGCTGATTTTGAAGTGTCCAATCGACCAATATCCACGAGCCTGGGTTTGTTGGTTTGTTAATACGTAGTTGTCTCGAGAGTTGGCAAGATACGTAGACAGGGGTTCGCCCCACGCGGCGCAGACCACGTCGAAGTTCCTTTCTTGTCCAATCGGCATTTTGTTCGCGCTGTACCTGGCTAAATCCAGCGGAACAAGTGGAGTATATGATTTGCCCCTCAGATTGCCTTTGAGAGTGACCAGATGAGATCTCAGTTCGTAAAGTCTTGCCTCGATGTCACCAATCTGTACCGAAGTACTCTGTTGATTCATACCTTGACCAACACAGGATGGCTGAGGAAGTCAGACGAAGATTATTTGTGCATTGGCTTCTAAATCCTCAAAATGGTTGTAAAATCTTAACTGATTAAACGTCAGATGTCCACAGATATCTCTTCAACGGTGGTTACTGCGTATAGCGGCACGTGCAGCAGCCTACTCCGTACTCCCTACTCCCTACAATATATATAGTAACAAAACTCCGTACGGAGACTCCGTAATTCACCGCCTGGCGCTCCATCTACCCCTCTATTACCCATGGACTTCATCTCCCTCTCTGAAAGACAGTATTTTTAGAACTTTGTGGATGTCTTTTGGGCGTCTTCTTAGCCATCTTTTTGATCCTATCAATGCGGAGGATCTGGTGCGCTTATTGAAAGTCCAAATAGACGAGAACCTTGACAAAAACTGCACGCCTTTTGGAATATGTGGGTCATATGGGGCGCCATTCAAACTTACATATACCGCCTACAACATATGGTTATACAGCCGTTGGGAAGGGAACGACTGCGGGACTCTGGAAGGAAGTCTCCAGCGAAGCACAAATACATATACCAGATTCTTCGGAAAGCCCAAGGGTCCACAGTACCTGTTTTTCTCGGTACAATCGATTTGGCGCTAATCTATTTCCATGACGCGGGAGACTTTTCGCATATGCTAGTTATGGGCTGGGGAGATGAGAGTATAGTGAATATGGAACTGACCTCATCGCTTCGCCGGGAGATTCACCGGTCGAAGAAGGAAATTCGCGAGCTAAGAGTTATTCACGAGGATCCTCGTCGTGCAAATATTCTTTAGAACGATGAACTCAACCGAGCATTGATCATTGACTTCCACCGGTCTAAATTGGATCCTCGGCCGGTATCAAAACGATCGCGACCAGCGAAGAGAAAATCGAATCGGACAGAGTCACCGGATGGAAATGATGGAAAGCGTTCACGTGTGTTATGAATGAAATGACCCTACATACCATTATATAGTTATTAGCGAGCGCATTGCCTAATCAATCGTTCCACTCCCCGGCATTTCATTGAACTTTGCTTAATATTAGTCTGTAGTTGATATCAATCCATGGATGGATGCGCCAACTGGCTGAAATGTCATCATGTAAATCACGTGGTGATACCGTCACGGCCTAGAGGCTCCCTCGACCTTGGATTTCACCCAGAACAAGCATCAAGAACTATAACATTGCATATGTGATGTCAATCGAAGTTGACTGGGCGGCTGCTACCTCTGGCCCGGACGGGGAAGCTCTGGCAGAGCGAATCCGGTCGTTCGTGCACGACAAATTCCAGGAGATCACCTTGCCGCGCTTTATTCGCTCGGTCCAGGTCCACTCCTTCGATTTCGGGACCATCGCCCCAGATCTCGAGATAAAAGACATCTGCGAACCGTTCGCGGATTTTTATGAGGAAGACGATGACGATGCCGACACCTCCGTCGCCTCAGAGGAGCTCATGTCTGAGCTCCACGAATCCCCATACGAAGACGACATGACCTTCAATCCCACCGCGCATAGCCTTCATAATTTCAGTCACCATCCATACCCCGGCGAAGGCTTCCAGCCATCTGCGCTTCGATCCCCGCTAGGCGACCACCTTAACCCGCATTTCATGCCTCGCGCCAGTACACCTGGAATCCCCGGCGGTACGTCAACATTAGGTTACCACATGCGGTCCCTGGGTGGTCTATCAGGTACCCAGACACCCCTTGCCGCCGTAGCAGGCGGCACTTCATTTGCAAGCGGATGGTCGGATTCAGGTATGGGTGCCGGACCCAGATCCCAAGCAGCCCGCCATGCTGGCGCACATCACCTCGCAGAGCCAGATCTAGATATTACCAACTCCGCCTCCCGGCCCTCAACCGCAAACACGCCCCCTTCCCATCCTTCCCTTGGTCACACTGGCAGCAGCGGGTCAAACCTGAATTCCAGCGACCCCACAGACGCACCACAGCCCTCAATAGAGATATCAGATCACCCCGCCGCCGAGGATCAATCGTTCCCCATCCCGCCGCGCATGCGCGAGCGCCGCCCAGAGGACTTCCAGGTGCTGTGTCATGCTAAGTATGCTGGCGATGTGCGCATGTCCCTGACTGCGGAGATCCTCCTTGACTACCCGATGCCCAGCTTCGTGGGGCTGCCGTTGAAGTTGAATGTCACGGGCATCACGTTTGACGGAGTTGCTGTTGTTGCGTATATCCGCAAGCGAGTTCATTTCTGTTTCCTTTCCGCGGAAGACGCAGACGCCCTGCTTGGATCGGAACAGTCTCAGGGTAGCCAAAATCCTAGTGATGATGGTCGGCCTCGGTCTGGGGGCGATCAGAAGGAGAAGGACCTGAAGCGGCAGGGTGGGTTATTGCAGGAGATCCGGGTGGATAGTGAGATTGGTCGCAAAGAAGATGGGAAGCAGGTATTGAAGAATGTTGGGAAAGTCGAGCGGTTTGTGCTCGCGCAGGTTCGGAGGATCTTTGAGGAGGAGCTCGTATATCCTAGCTTTTGGACATTCCTGGTTTGAACTTTCAAATCATGCCATTCGGCCTTGACCAGCTGATTCATATACTATGTACATTTACGAATAGCTTATGATCTCCAGACACGATCCTTGGTCCGGTCCTGTGAGATTGTGGCTGCTACACCACACAATAGAGCAACGGGAATTAACAAACTATTTAATATGAAAGGGTAAATGGAATATGATAAGTGTTATAGAATCAGCACTATGGATCCCATCGAAAAATCTTAAAGATATTTGCTAGTAAATGAAAAGGAATACAGCGAGAGAGAAATCCCGAGGTCGTACCAACTGCAATTCCCATACTTCCCTCTACATAACAGTAGAGTCAATACATCGAGAAAGGGTAGTTATGCACAATACTTAATCCAGAATGTGTCGAGTGATTTTGTTGCCGAAAAGATTCCAACTCCTATGACAGGGGACGAGGCTCTCAATCCAAAGCAAACGTAGAAACAGCGCGAGGGAAAGTCTATCAAAGCTTGGGCTTTGATAGACTGAGCGAAGGAATTGAAGAATCCAGGCCT